TTGTTCCACTTGGTGTAGGGAATAGGGGCACAGTGGAGGAAGAAATCAGGGAGAAGCCTTGTTCTGTCTCTAACATTACAAAGTACCCAAGTCCCCACCCAGCTCTCTCCTACCTCTCAGTGCCTCAAGTTCAAGCTTTCCCCTTTCCCCTTCTCTCAGCCAACATTGTTATCATATTAGTTCACTTAACAGCAGGCTACTGTACTTCTAAGCGTGGCAGAAGAATCTCCTTAGTATTGTTATCTACATGCCTGATGAGGGAGGGAGAGAGGAGAGCAGACTCATCAGTGTTGTTTAATCTCTTCTTCTCTGCTGTCCAGTTTTGTAGCTTCTACCCACATACGGCCATGTAAATTTAAGTTACTTAAAGTTAAAAAAAAAAACAAAAGAGCACCTCCTCAGTAGTTCCTAGCCAAATTCTCAATAGGCACATGCTGCTAGTGGCTACTGGATGGGAGAGTACAGATGTAGAACATTTCCTTGGTCACAGAAAGTTCTCTTGGGCAGATGGTTCTATTTAATATTTTAGTACGCTCCTAGGTGATAAATGCAACTTTAAATCAATTGTGTTCCTCCTGTTTTATAGTGTATTGATACTGAACGTTATTTTATCTAGGTATAAAATATGTTAAATCTCACTTTCTCCCTGCCCCTAGAAAAAAAGTCATCCAAGCAATTAAATTCTTGATTCTCTGTGACAACCAGTGATGGAAATTCCTGAGGTCAATGAAACATTTTCATCAGAGTAAGAATGGCATTCCTTAAGTATTCATTTATCTTATTGAAACAACGTCTGCAGGTCATCAGCCCATTATCTAAAATACATGAGACAAATGGAAACTGTGCACATGGTGCTGGTTTCTCAAAAAGCCAAAGCAAATAATATATATTCTTTTTAAATCACGGCTTTACTTGATATGTTGTGAATATTGTTAATGCTTTTGGCAATTTTGGGGGGCCAAGAAAAGAGAATACGGGGAAAGAGAAGACTTGACCAAGGATTATTTTAGCCAGACAAAGTGGGAGAGAAAATCTAAAGATAATGATAAAATTTTATTGCTAGGGAGATCCTGTGGATGCTTTGAATGAAGACGGTGACACACTTGAAAAGGGCCCTCTGCTTTTAACTTCTATCCAGGAAAAAAATGAACATCTAAATGAAATGAATATACTTTGCTTTGTAAAATCATTACGTTAGTAGACTGATGGTCCTGGCTCATGATAAAATTATATGAGTTTATCGATGGCTTAGGGTACAGGGAAGAACTTAATTGTCATCGGGTTCTTCCGAAACATTTGATGATGCCGTGTTTATAAATGATAGCAGTTCGATTTTCTGTAGCTCAAGCCCCACACAGTGGGTTGAATCCTTCATCCAACTTTTTTTCCAAATTCTTTTCTGCAAAATACACTCATGTAAGATGCTCCCTAAAAGGAAGGCTTCTGAGGTCAGATAAAGTTTGGGGTGTGCTCTGCTCTGTGCTTCCTGTCTTGTAGAGTCTGCAACGTCCTTCAGCGAGAGGACTTGCTTACCTTGGCTTAACTTAGCATCACCTAAAATGGTTTGACTAAAGAATCCCCGATATTTTGGCTCAACATACGTTTTAACAGCTTGCAAACCGCTGTAGTGATCTGTAAGGTATACTTTTTTTTTTTAAAGATTGCCACCTGAGCTGACATCTGTGGCCAGGCTTTTTTCTTTTTCTTCTTCTTCTTCTCCCCAAAACCCCCCAGTACGTACTTGTATATATTCTAGTTGTGTGTGCCTCTGGCTGTGCTATGTGGGACACCACCTCAGCATGGCCAGATGACCGGTGCCATGCCCGTGCCCGGGATCCAAACCAGGGAAACCCCGGGCCACTGAAACAGAGTGCATGAACTTAACCACTCAGCCATGGGGCTGGCCCCTCTGTAAGATATGCTTAATGTGTACTCGATTTGCCTATGAATAGAACAACTAAATCACTCAAAAGGCTCCATGGTTTCATATGAAAAAAGTTCTTATTTCTAAGATGTTGAAGGATTTAGGGGTGAAGTCACATGATATCTGCAACTTAATTAAAAATGATTCTGAGCCAGCCCTGATGGTCTAGTGGTTAAAGTTCAGTGCACTCCACTTCGGCTGCCTGGGTTGGGTCCAACTATTCATCTGTCAGTTGCCATGCTGTAGCAGTGGCTCACAACTAATATATACAACTAGTATACACAACGGTGTACTGGGGCTTTAGGGAGGGGAAAAAAAAAAAGAGGAAGATTGTCAACAGCTGTTAGCTCAGGGCGAGTCCTCCCCAGCAAAAAAAAAGAAACCTCACAGATGATTGAGTCAAAAAATACGTGTGTGTGCGTGTGTATACATATATGTATACACACATACACACAGAGTACCCTGAAAATATAGCAAAATGTTCACAAACCTATAATTTATAAAGTTTTTGAAATATTTCTCAGGATTTGAAAATGTATTATATAAAAAGAGACAAATCTGTAAACACAAACACAAGCTGCTTTGATTATTTTGGGCCGTGAAGGGATTGCCATATTGAAGAGCCGATTAGGAAAGAAACAGGATTTTAAGCTCCAAACAAAAGTAAAAGGGGGAAGATTCATGTTATTGACTGGAGACAGTTATAAACCCAGAGAAAAGGTTTTTGGGTCATTCTTCAAATATCCTTGCTGTCCCTTCGGGAGTTATGGCTCCATATTCCAGTCTGCCCCTTAGAACCGTCCATCAGGCCAACGGGAACATCGCCCAGGGCACCAGGGTGTTGTTCTTGTCCCTGCCCCATGCCCTCCAGACCTCAGCGTGACGCAGAGGAGTTTGCCAACTTTAAATAGTGTTCTGTAGCCAAATAGGTGGGGAAATCATCCTGAAAAGGGCATCTCAGGATTTACCTGAATCCCTGCCTGCTTGACCAAGTAGAGCCAGCAGCTTGAAATTTGCTGTGGCCAGGACTGGCCTGACCTTGATCTTCCTTAGACTAGCTATTAATCCCCAGCTTGCGGCTGGCTCTGGGAAGCACTGTGTAATAGATTGCATGTCATCTTGTATGCTTCTAGGGCACAGACGTTGGCATGCAGTATTTTCTGCCTAACTTCTCAAGGACTTTAGCGAAGGTTGTAACACACGGAGGTGGAAGGGCGTCCCCATCTTCAGATTCGACCTGGTTATATCATTAGCTGAAACAATATTGCAAATGTTGCTATTGCTCTAGGGGAGAGAGAAGAGTCATTTTGTTGCCTGCAGTTTCTGAGATGCTTCCTTTACTGTTATAAAACTATTGCTAATATGCTCCTTCAACAGTGCTGATGTCTTTGTACCCCAAAGTCCCTTTCATAAGCTTTCCCTTTTCCCATTTCTTTTCTTCTGCCTTCTATTTTTATTGTTTAACCTCAACAGTAGGTTATAAAAATTGTGAATTGGATTTGTTCGTATTGCCGATACAGGTTTTAATAGTAAGGGCCACTACCTTCTTCACTAGGCTCGTCTTAGTGCACATTAAAATTGTAACAGTTCTTGTGATTTTCTGATATTACGTCAGTTATTATGATATTTCTATAACTTTAATATATGGTTCTCTCTGTTGCATTTATGATATACATAAAACCTTAAGAATATATTTTATGTAATTATTATATTTACTAGTAACAATGTGATATTCATAGATGAGTATCTTGCACATTAAGACACTAATGCTACAAAGAAGAGTCAGAAAATCAGTTTTTTATTAATACAAAATATATTTATATTTTATCTTCCCTTCACCCTGAAAGATAAATATTAATCTCTAGAAAGGAATAAGTATAAAATATATTGCCAATAAATGATAGAATTATAAAACTTCACATCTTTATTGTGCTTTACGTTTTACAAACTATTGTCACCTACAATATTAGTAATGATGACTAAACAAATGATAATTCAATATGTCAATAGTGGCTTTTTTTGTAAATTAGTAAGTCAAATGGAACTGCATAAGACTTTAGGATCTCTTTTTGTTTTCTCATTACTTTTATACTAATTGTTTTTAATAAACCATATGCATTTTTGAGGCTGCAGGTTTTCACTCACAATGATCAAAAAAACACTTACTATTTATTATTTCTAGATGCTCTTCATGGTAATCATAAAAATTTAAACAAAATTTTATGCGTCAGCCTTTGATGTAACCCCCACCCAGCAAGAAGTAGTGTAAGGATGAAAAGAACTATTCAGTAATTTTAGAAATTTACAAAGGTGGTTATTTTACTGGCAAGTGCTTCAGAAATGAAGGTGTGAAACTATTCAGAAAGATCCCCCTAATTTACAGAATAATCCTGGCCCTAGATGGTGACATTTGAGAGAAAGGACCAGAGATATGTAATTATTAAATTAATTTTTTGTCCAATTTTTACTCTTTAAAATGTGTTATTTGAATGGCATTTGTCTAAGCAGAGAACGCTAATGAAATGCAAAGCGTCATTTCTGCACACAGCTGCTGGATCTGTTCAGCCGCTCCAGGCTCTTGTCCTACTTTATGTGTGACTGTGTGTTGGAAAGTCTTCACTGGAAACCCAGCAAACTGTGACCATATCATTCACATTATGAGAAATGGGCTGGTATGTCCCTATAGATAAGATTTTAAGAGGAAAGATCTGGAGCCTTCAAAACTGTGCAGAAGCATGAAATAGAATTCAGGAGCAGTGGTCTCCAAATTTCCAATAGCATCTATAGTTCCAGTCCTTTTTAAAAACTTCTGCAGCAAAGAGTGAACTTAATTCCCCTGTCTTGCAAATACTCTTGGCCAGCTCTCCTGGCAGCAGGTTGCATACTTTGCTGAGTAAGTCACAGGGCTGTTGGCAAGGAGAAGAAAAGATTTTCACTCTTTTGAGCATAAAACCAGATTTTCTAAATTAAATGGTTGTATCCTCGTTGGAATATTTATTCCATTAATGTTTCAAAATGCAACTTTGGAGTTAATTTTAAAATTTGTCTTTCCTCTGCTTTTTGTTTGTCCTCCCAGCAGGTAGATCAACCTACAACAGCTTTTATGTCTATTGCAAAGGTCCGTGTCAGAGAGTCCAGCCAGGAAAACTCAGGGTACGGTGCAGCACCTGCCAACAAGCCACGCTCACCTTGGCCCAGGTAAGGAAATGCAGCATCAGCAGAGACTGCCCAGAGAAATGAAGATGTATTTCCAGAGTTGCCTTTTGGGGTTTCTAATCAGGTGTCACCCATCATTGGAAATGAAAGACACTTCTACATGGCTGTAATGGTTAATGGTATCTGAAGTTTCCTTTTAAAATGCACTACTCTGTAAAAACTTAGGTAGTACAGGGCCATTGCCTCCATTTGTTTAGTTCAGGCCTATAGAAAGGAAGTAGAGGAGACTGCTTTTTAACCAAAAGAGGTTCAGCTTTGGTAGGAGGTCTTTTAGAACCAGCCATAAAGGAGCTTTCTAAGGTACTGGAAATGTTTCATGTCGATCTGTGTGATGGTGGCCGATACTTATGCCAACATTCATTGGACTATTTACTTAATATCTTGGCACTTAAGGTTGCTAACTGTAAGTTATACCTCCATAAAAAAGCTAAAAGGAAAGTTTTAGATCAACGAACAGTGTGTATATAAAACAGGGGTCAGCAAACTCTGACCTGCTGGGGCCTCTGCTTGGTTTTATTCAGTCCACGAGCTAAAAATGTCTTTTCCATTTTGAAGTGGTTGGGCAACATCAGAAGGATAATATCGCATGACCCATGAACACTATATGATGCTCAAATTCCAATGTCCAGAATGAAGTTTTATGGGAATGTGGCCCCACCCATCGCTGTATTTGTCATCTGTGCTGCTTTTGTGCCTTTGGGCAGGCTTGAGTGGTTGTGACACAGGCTGGATGGCCTGCAAAGCCTGACGTATTTCCTCTCTGGCCCTTTAGAGAAAAGGTTTGTTGACCCCAGATATAAAACATAGACAAAGCCAGTTCCTGGCTTCAGTGTGATGGTTGTGTAGGATTTAGCTTAATTTGATGTGGATGTGGATGTGCATAAGGGCGCCGAGGCATCCGGGTCATTGCAGTGGTAAGAGCACAGCCAAGGAGGCATAAGTGAGCCAAGAACTTTGGGGGGCAATCGGGCTGAAGCGTAGACAAGTACCCCCCATTACCACATTAATGGTGTGGTAGAACATTTAGATTTTATTCTTGCAGGCAAGGGGGAGCCACAGCAAAATGTTAAAAACCAAGGCAATGTACAAAATGATGTTTTAGAACCACTTATTAGTGCTGGAACAGTCTGTCATTGGGATGGAGGTTGGTGACAGATTGAAAGCATAGAGGTCAATTAATAAATTATTCATATGGTTCATAGGTGAAGAGCCAGAGGCCTAGATTAGGGTGGCAGTCCCAAAGAATGGATATAATGGAGCACTGTGAAAGAACTGGGCTGATGCACTGAGTAAGGGAGAATCATGGATCCTTGCCTCATGCTTGAGCAGAGTGGTGGAATTACTGCAAAATGTAATTCAGGGGCTGACCCCATGGTGTAGTGGTTAAGTCTGGCACGCTCCGCTTCAGCAGCCTGGGTTCACAGCTTCAGATCCTGGGCGCGGATATCCACTGCTCATCAAGCCATGTTGTGGTGGTGACTCAGGTACAAAATAGAGGAAGACTGGCGCAGATGTTAGTTCAGGGACAATCTTCCTAAAGCAAAATAAAAGAGGAAGATTGGCAACAGATGTTAGTTCAGAGCTGATCTTCTTCAGCAAAAATAAAAGAAAGAAAGCTCAAAAAAAAGAAAGAAAAATGTAATTCAGTATTTCACTATGATACATTTCAGCTACACAGGCAAATCCACTTAGAAAGACAAATCTGTGAATGATGCCTAGGTTTATACTAACCCACTGGAGTGGACCTTTTTCTGAGGGTGTCATTGGGCAGTGCTTCCTTCTGGGAAACATGTTGTCCTGAAGTTCTCCCAGAAGTTTTTCTTCCATCAGATTCTCTTCTCAGCCACCAGCCTTCTCCGATGCGATAAATAGCCTCTTCTCTTCTGATCCAGACCCCGGTCCTGATCGCCGGTCCTGATTACCTGGTGGGCTGGACCTATTTATGTTAACTTCCAATTTTTCTTAATAAAAACAGCAATAACAAATTATTGTTGAACTCTAAGCTTAGTTCTTTTCATTCATTATCTCATTTAGTTATTTCATAAGCTCGGAGTTAAGTGCTATTAATAGCCCTATTTTAGATTTGAGAGAAACAAGGTTTGAAGAGATTAAGGAAACAAGACCTTGCCAGTGGTGGACTAGAGCTTTGCACTGAGCTGTGTGATCTAAAGTGTAGCTCTTCAGTCTCCCCTTCTACTGCACAGATGTGTTTACACTAAGGGTCAGTGATCAGACGAGTGATTTAAAAATTAGGTCAGATGTCGGCAGTGGGGGTCGGTGAGGACCACGGTGGGTGGGAGAGGTCGAGGCCCCCAAGGCAGCTCCTGCCAGTTGTTAGCAGGTGGTGGTGGGAGGGGTCTCAATGTGGCCAATCTTTTATGTAATCGAGAGAAACCATAAACGTGGAATTTTATGTGAAATTTCTCATTTAAAAATGTGCTCCATGGGGGAAAAAATGGAAAACAAACAAAAAGGAAAAACAGTCTACAGCATTTGTCTAAATGTGGCAAACCAAAGTAGAGTGTTGTAGGGGTTAAATGGTTCATTAATATTAGGTGCTTAGCAGAGCCTGACATGTAGTAAGCCCTCAACTAAAGCATCATCAAGAGGCAGTATGGTGTGAGCTTAAAGCAAGATGATTCTGGAGCCTGGGTTAGAATCCCACTTCATTACATCGTACCTATGTCAACTTGGGGACATCTGCTAACTGGGATAATGGTAGTTATTTCTTATTTGTTGTGAAGATTAGTTACATGAATAGTACTTAGAATGGTAGCTGGAGCATAAATACTTAGAAATCTTAAATGCTTTATTATTCTTATTTTTTTATATTACTATTATTATTACTGTTATTCTTATTCACATATACTTTATATATATATATATACACACACACACACACACACACACACACACACACGGACGACACACACACACACACACACTTATGTATAGTTCACCAGGAAATCAATCTGGCTTTGGCTAATTCCTTTCAAAGAAGCAAAAGCATCCCCACTCGCACCCTGTTCATCAAGAAACCCTGTGATGAAGTCACGTCATCCGGCTCAGCTGGACCAGGGCTTCTTCCGAGAGATGATCTCATCCATCCAGTGGTCTTGGCTCTGCCACATCTCAGATGCCCACTCCCATGACCACCCTGGGCTTCGTCAGTTCCCAGAAATGCTCCACATTTGATTAGTAAGTTCAGACTTTTATTCCCCCTACATTATCTTTTGCTCTGCACAGCATTGAACCCTCTCTTAAGTTTTTGTAGAGCTATCAGGCCTTTCTTCTCATCATTTCCTCTCTGACAGGCCAAAACTTCAACTACATTATTACAGATAGGACTGAATTTCTGTTCTACATTCTATGCAGTTGTCCATTTGTCTATATTCCAAGAGTGTGTAAGCCCCATAAGATCAGATAACGTGTTCGTTTTGGGCCCTGGTTTATTTTCAACACCTTACACAGTGCCTTGGCCACAGTGGGGCACAAAGCTAATAATGTTGAATGAATGGCATCTGTATTTTAAACTTTCACGCATTGATTCAATAGATTCATACACTTTAGAAATTCTATTTGACATTTTATGATTGTATTAATCATAGCAATTATGATTGTTTTGCTGCAATTTATAGATTTCCTTTCTTACATTTATGTTCCGGTACTTGTGTTTTTCTCTAATTCTCATGACAGACCTGCAAAGTAGATATTATTATCCAATGTTTTTAACAAGGAGACTCCAGGAGGTTAAGTAATGAGCCCAAAGTTGCACAGTTAACAAACGCTGGAGCCAGGAATGAAAAAATCTTCTCTGTGTTTCTCCAAAGCCCTGCCTTTTCTAGAATAGACTGCTCGCTATACAAATCTGGTAATCAGTGTCCTATTACCCAACTCCTTCCCTTATACTTAAAATATCATTCAAAAATACTCTTGGAAAAAATATGCTGAAAGATTTAGGGAAAATGCAATCAAAGATGCCTTAAAGATAATTAATTTAATCCAGATTTTTAGTACAGTTACTAGATATAGCATAAGTGGCACCTAGCAAGTGAGTAGATCAGGCATTTCAATGTTTTATTATAACAAAACATACACAATCAATAATACCTTCGAATAATATCTCCGTGGATCGGGAGATCAATCACACCCCAAATGGGTCTGCGAGGCGGTGCTTGGGCTGAGCAGGTGCTGAACTGTAGCAAGTGGAAGGATTTCTGTATAGACAATAGACAACTGTTAAGTTTCATTTTCCGAACTTTACAAAGATGTACAACTTACACAATTTCCTCTGGTAAGGAGAAAAAAAGAAATCAGGTCTTGTGTGGCTGACTAGTTATATAGTAGAGCAGTGTGTGGTTTATCTGGGCTCCTGCAAGAAGCTTTTTATTTCCAAGGAGAAAAGTTTGAACCTATTTAGCCACTGGGTTTATTTTTTATAACGTGGCTTTATTTTTTCTGGTCTGAAGAAATCAGTCTGCAACAAGCCCCATGCCTTTCGTGAGTCTTAATAGCAACCTCTTAATTTTGTATTGTTGTTTGGGGGGATTTATTCGTAATTCCAATATCTCCTTAACACTATTTAAATTTTGCATGCAATAATAATGAGCCACCTCTCATGCATAATGCTGTAACGTTTAGTTGTTTAAATGTTTCATGTGTAATACGATACTCATAATAAATTGGCAAGGAAGATGGACAGCCATTTCTGTCATGGCGTTAAGCATGGCGCCACTGGTATCTGAAGTTTTGGCCTGACCTTGAGGGTAAGTTGAGAATCAGTTTGGACATCAGGTTTTTTTTTCTGTCTCCAAATCAAATTATCTTTATTTCATGGTGACCTTGGTCAGGGTTTCCACTAACCAAAATAGCCTTTAGAAAAATGAATGCTCGCTGGAAAATAGTGAACAACGGCTGATTGGAAAAACATGGCAAGCATCCAGTTTTCAAATGCCTGTTCAAAGATGGCCCACTTAGGTCCA